ATATGCTCTAGACAGAATAAACCCCCACAACAAAGGGTTCGACAAGGGATAACCACAGCGTCGAAGCTAAAAAAAGGTTTAGGTGAGTCGTATCTCATAAAAAAGGAGACTCACCACATACACCTGGATGTCACCCTTGATTCGCTTACGAAACGGGTTGTTACCCGAATAAACAACCGCATACTATGCGGAATTAGCTCATATTTATATGTCCAGCGAACTGTCCAGTGTTCAGCTGTTGGACTTAGAGCATTTTCGAGTTGTTCCCTCTGTAGGATATAACCCTGAGATCCTATCCCGATCCGTTCCAGGGGACATCAGGCCCTGTCCCCTTCCCCACACGGGTCCAGTACCCGTCCCGCGGTTCCGTCCCGTGCCGGGCGTTGACCCGAGGTGCGTGCTCATCGTTGCCCACGATGAGCACGACTATCTCCACAAGTTCCCTATCAATTCCCGGCGTTCTTTTGGTATGTTGGGCGCTATAGCAAGTAGATTCATTACGATATAGTGCGAATACATTTAAACTACGCCAAGACCGTCCACGCGCATTGTGTCCGTCGTTGAACTCAGCGCATTCAACGCGCACGTCAACCACGGGCTCCCGCCTCCTAAAAAACATCGCTACGAGCCCTCCTAAGTACCCTCTACATGCTCCAAGTGGTCCCGTAAGTTTTCCTCCCGCCGTTCCCAAGTTATCGCTCGCCGCTGTCAACGACGACGAGGACGGTTCTTCAAAACGTGTCCTTTCCGCCCACCCTTCTGGCCACGGCAGCCCTCATGCACCCTATTGAAGTTCCAGCAAGCGCGGTGCCCGTATTCGAAGCCGTTCTTCCGCTATTTCGGTATGTTCGCCACCACCACCCACAATGACGGCGCCGTGACTCCAAATCTTCTCCAATCCCTCTCGTCTATTGCAGACACCATGCCGTATGTATTCTATTCGAGGTTTCGAAGCAGGGGCGTCCGTCGTAGCGTCCGTTCTTGAGTTATCTTGGTAAGTGTCTTGACGTCGTCCTGAACAGCGCCGAGCATCTTCCCCTGCTCCGATTTCTTTAAAAACTTGGCAGCAGCAGCTCCTATATGTATTCGTGAGTCTCCGTAAGTTTCATCCAAGTCATATACGTACTCACCGAGTTATTCCTTCATGTTCGTCCACACCGTGCTCAACAACGACGAGCACCCCCAAATCTCCTTCAATCATCGTGTAACTCGGGCTATAGCAGGAGAGTGTTGTTAGTTTGACGATACAGAAGACCCGGAGTGATCAATTATAGAGCTTACCAAGTTATTCAGATATGTTCCTCGACGTCGTCCACAGAGACGACGCGGACCCCTTCAATCGCTTCCAAACGTCTCGTGAGCTCATCTGCGGCATGGTGTTCTCGTTAGCTTCAAGGTAAGAAAGATTTGATAGGAATTGAATGAGAACTCACCGAGTTATCGCATAAAGTCCAACCTCACCACCCAAAATCAACCACAAGTCCAAACGTCGTTCTTGCCGGAGTTCTTGAGCGCGTTTTCGTGAGCTGTAGAGTTAGTATGATGCAAGGATGTGAAGCCGGGAAGGGCATAGCAAAAGTTAAAGGGTATCACCTGTTTTTGTTGTTCATTAGAATTGCGAATTTCGGGTTATGCTTGCAGTTCACGAGGAATTCGGGGTGTCAATGGCACGTAGATTTCATGAGTATGTATCACATGTAGTAGATCGCGTTCGAGTATATAGAAAAAAGACGCACGGTGGATGGGAGACGACGCGGAGTGCCTACTACTCCCGTGCCGTTCCATCCTCCTCGTCCTCGTCATCGATGAATTCATCTGACACCTTCTTCTGCCTCTTGGGAGCACGGCGGTGGAGGGGCTTGGCTTTCCGCTTCTTCTGGCGTTGTCCACCGTCATCGTCGTCATCGTCGGCCTCTTCATCGTCATCGTCTTCCTCCTCGGCATCAATTGCTCTTTGCGTAAAGTCGGCCTTCCGTTGCGTATATTCTTCCTTGCTCAATTGCACCCAATGGCATGATTCGTTTTCCAACGAGTTGAGTAGGACGCGTATGAGTTTTGCAACGCCGATCTTGCCCGGGTTTATCATTTCGGCGAGCGGCCATCCGACGAGTTCGACACCGTACTTGATTATGATCTTGGGCTCGTAATTCGTATAATTCATCTTGATCGTCAATGAGGCTTTGAGTTTCTTCATGTTGTGGAGCATCTTATCTACGAACGTGAGTACAAGTAGATGGTGATGGAGAATGAAGGATAACGTACTAAGTCCGTCCTTGATAAGAGTGCGGCATTGCGAAACAAGTTCTTTGCGGTTGACCTTGGTGTCGTCATTGTCATCGTCCTGATCTGAATAGCATGAGTACGAATGAAGTGGGTCACATTGCGATTATATGAACTTACCCATCTCGCTCACAACATAAGATTCTAGCTTCAAGGCCAAACGTTCCGGCGTCATTTTGAGGACGCGACGGATAAAAGATGCGACCTTTTCGGTGAAGAAGGTGTATGGCGACTGGAGATCGTCGATGCTGCCGCGAACCGCAATGAATATACCCTCGACGCCTGTCTCGTTGCACATGGCCGACCACTATACGAGTTTGTCAGATAAAACAAAGCAGTCAAAAACAAAAAGAGAGTACGTACGTTCAATTCCTCCGCTTGACAGAACTTTTTGACGGTCGACGAAGCACCTTTGGCCTTGCATGAATTGGCTTCACGGTTGCCTTCTTCGTCAGCTGCAGATCTTGGGCTAGCTGCTTGCGTTCTTGTTCGGTGACAGTTTTGTACTGGGCCCGGAGATGCGTCATATGCGTACGAAGAAACAACGTGAATGTAATTTGGTCAACATCAGAACGGTCTACGAAAATCAGAAATAAAATAATGAATAGCACAGGAAGTTTAACTTACCAGAATTGAACTTGACCCATTCGCGCCTCAAGAAACTATTCCATGGACTGCTTTTACGACGTCGATTACGTCGTAAATACAACTGATTCCGAATCCATTTATTCGAGCTGTGGGTTGGTGTCAGAAGGCACGCGAGTGTGTGTATTGTGAGCCAACGTACCGGTGATGCTCATCCTGGAGCTCCTCAATGTCTCCGAAGATACCAGTACGCTTTTCCTCGATGGCTGTTGCCAAGGCTTCCCCCTTCTTGCGCCGATGGGCTAGCTGGACTGCTGTGAGCTTCGCGCGACGCCGCGGAGCTTTCTTCACTGCTGGGGTGGACATGCCGTAGAAAGGGGGATTAACGAGCACCCAGAGGGGTAAACGGATTTTAACGGTTCACTTACCGAGTTTTGTCAAAGACCTAAGGGTTGCAGAGTCACAGAAAATGGAACTGGCCACTTGAAGCAATTTGCGCATGCTGGCCGCAGTGGGGCCTACGTAAAAGAATAGGAATAAGTGGTGAAATTTTTATGAAAAGGCAGTGAAAGACGTAAAAGTACCAGAAACGAGCAACGGTGAATTCATGAAAACACGTAAAAGAAACTATCCAAGCCAAAACAAGAAACTAAACACTACGTGTCAACTGACATGTAACAAGACTTTCGTTGAAACAGACTAATAGGGAAATTCACGAGGTGCCGGATATCCGTACGGGGCAATGATACCAGAAGCTGGATGGATGGACGTATGGCCGTTGACTATGTTCATGGGTGCGGGTTCGTCAAATAGCGCGAGGGTGGAATCCAAACCGCCAGCGAGAGTTGGGAAGCAGCAACAGCAGCAGAGGGTGTGGACCCCATCGAAGGACAAGTTATCTATCGAAGCTATGTGGTGGGGTTATCGAATGTACGTCCACGTCTCCCTTCTTCCTTCCCTTCCCTCGTACTCACCCTCCCTCCCCCAGTTACCTCCCCCCACCTGTCCTCCTAATCCTCTCCGACCGTCAACTAGAAGCCACAAAACGAGCTGCCCTAATAACAACCGC